CCTAGAGCAATTCTACTTCGAGGTATTAGCGAAAATGTTAGTTTTTGTGCTGATTAAAATATCATCTCTCTCAACGTTCAGGGCGTTATATCTCAAATACGCATTTCTTAAATTTCCCCAAATTTTGGTATTTTGTTAATCAGCCCCAAAAGAGCCTGTTTATGAAATATAAAGCTTATTAACGCATAAACGTCGAAAGTAGAACCCGTTTTTCTGCCCTGTCTCTCAAATACGCATTAATTAAATTTCCCCAAATTTTGGTATTTTGTTAATCAGGTCAAAAAGAGCCTGTTTATGAAATATAAAGCTTATTAACGCATAAACGGCGAAAGTAGAACCCGTTTTTCTGCCCTGTCATTATCAATAAAAACGATGATCATCATGTCTCACTGCTTCAACCAAAAGCCGCGTACTATCCAACAGCTTTCTATTTCTAGCTTTTCTTCCTTTTAAAAGATTCCAAATCAAAACCACGCATAACCCATAAGTAGGAAAGCAGGAATCGATCTGTGGAAAGCAGATACACCTAGAGTGCTCTGGAGTGCAACGAACAAAAGAGTGTGAGTGGTTCTTTATCTTTAAAGTGTTTTGACAAGACAACTGCTATCTTAAGTGTTGCTTAATTGTCATCACAGCGTTTGATTGAATGTTTTCTTGAAAGGTCATTGTCAAGGTTTTAAAAAAAATATTTTTCTCATAAATAGAAGCAAGAGGTGAGGTGTTAATCATTAAGGATATCCTATTGGAAGGAACCTTTACCGAAGGTAAGTAAGCGATAATGCTTTTTATTAAGAAATATGAATATTGAAGGAAGGAAGGAAGGAAGGAAGGAAGGAAAATACTGAAAGTAAATTTGATTAACTTATTAACTTATTATATAAAAATAAAAAAAATAAAAACTTATTACGTGTAAAGAGAGTAATAGCTAACGAAGCGACGCCGGCGCTGCTCTGCACGGATAGTGCAGCGATAAGAACTGAAGAATTGTGGTTGGAAAGGACGTTTACATATAAGATAAGTGAACCCAATTTTTTAGTATCTACGTATAACTGAAACAAATTTACATATATATAACCCTATCCGTCTGTCCTAGAACCATTGAACAAACGATTAAAAGGACGAGCAAAAAACAGGAGCAGGAGAAACAAGGAAAAAAAAAAAAAAAGAGAAACGAAGAGATACATTGAGAAAAAAGATTATCAACTCATTTATTATCATCTCTTTACGCTTAACTAGGTGATTCACGATGGAGACCCACATACTTATGTTGGTAGCCATCTTTGGGGTGCTTTCTTATTCTCAAGGTAAGTCGTGAGAATACAAACCAAAAAAACGTATTGTTATTAATCACCCATGCATCTAGCAGCCACCAGCAAACTAGCCAACCAGCAAGCTCGCTCACTCCCTGTTTCCTTCATTCCCTCCCTCTGTTATACGCCTTACTAACGCACGCCTTTTTGTTTGTACACATACAGCATCCCTTTCTCCTACAGAATGCAGTACAACCTATGATAAAGTAGGTGGCTTTATCGATAAGGCGGACAGAGCAATGCCAGAATTACTTTTCAATGGTAGTTAATCCAGGCATTGATAAGAGCAATGGCAACGTACTGGATGGGAAAGCACTTGAGGCATCAGTACACAGGTGAGGTGCATCTGACACCAAAGAGGGGAGCGTGGGCCTCCGAAAACCTTAGAATCATTTAAAGCTTATATATATCGAGTCTGTCTTTTGGTCGAGGGTCGAGGGTAGTTCGTCGAGGGTCGAGGGTACTACGTCGAGGGTACTACGTCGAGAGTTCAGTATTATACGGTCGAAGGTTGACTATACTCCCAGAACATTAAAAGGAATAACTTGAAAATCAAACATACATTACAGTGGGCCCTGTAGTGTTTACTGTTTAGCACGGGCACCGAAGATGGTCGTCACCAGCGTCTTTAGTGGGTCTTTTACGTCCGCCTTATACAGGGTTGTAAAGTGAAGATAGACGGGGACTATGGTTTTAAGTCCTTGTCCGAGAAGACTTGAAGGTCTAACTATTTGCAGGTGTAATTACAAAGGCAGCACCTTCTCGTGAGTAATTTTAAGACCCGGAGTGTTGGTCCGGCCGAGGCTTGAACCAAGACCTCCCGCACAACAGACCGACGCTCTTACCAGCTGATCGAGCTTCTATATATCTATATAACTCTTTTCCACCTTACTATACGCTTCTGGTTTGCTCGGGTTGACATAAGGTTTCTTGATCATCAGTCTTGCCTGTCAATGCGCTGCCAAGGCCAAAGAAAAGGGCTACAAGGTGTTTGGTTTGCAGTACTTCGGAGAATGCTGGAGCGGACCTGATGCTGAGGCGAGCTACGATAAGTATGGCGCAGCTGGGGCATCGAAGATCTACCAGTTCGATGGGAAACCTCCCTGTGACAAATCTAAGGAGCAAGAGTGTGTTGGTGGTCATTGGGTTAACTATGTTTATCGGCTTAAAGAGGGTGAGCTTGGAGAATATTCATTTCTGGATTCATATTAACTATAGTTTTTCGCAGCTGATTTCGCAGCCTATTTGTATCGTGAAGGACGATTCGCGGCCATTGTTTCTGGGTATCCTATCTTTGCGCTCTCTAAATCTATTCTTTCAAATAAGCAAGGAACGCTCGCATGATTTTGTGTAGACACAGAATCAAATTCAAAATGACGGCGAAATGTTCAAAGTTTGCGACACGATATGTCGAAAACGAAAACAGTGAACCCAGTTTTTCTTTCTTAAATACAAAGTAACATAAAGATCTATAACATATGTTTTTATAACTTTCATAAATACTGTGGATTGCTTCTTTTGTGAATGTTTTTCGTGTTCTTTGTGTCGAGGATACTCATATCTGAAGACTTTGAAACAGAGTCTTATGGCTTTTAAGCAACGATTTATTTCACACGATTTGCAATGATAAGGCGCCCGTCTTTCATCTTGAAAACAATATGATCGATTATCGGGTTGCCAAGTTCCATAAAATTGACATCAAACTTTCACCGCGAACGTCCTTCATGAGCGTGCATCTTGCGTACGAGGATACAATTGAGGCTTTCGGGTCGGCGAGTTTGCGATAAATGTCAAGACAAACTGTTAGAAATATATGGACGTTGCTTTAGAGTGAAGTCATTAAACCCGTGAAATAGCTATTAGACTAATACACTTTAGTAGACCCTAATTCCATTGTTTTCATTGTGTCTATTTGACTATTACACGTTGACTAGTATTTTTTATTTCACGGGTTAAATGCCTCCATTCTATGCTAACCTATTTTCCGCTACTAGTATTTTTCTTTTTTTTCTTTTATAATCAAAGCTAGGACATGTTGTATTGAGTTTATGTCCTCATCATTCGTTTACTCACATGACGCCAACCCCTATACTTATGGAGATAATTCTCTTCCCAGCCATTCGCCTTTTTATAGAACTTATAATCATTCACACTTAGTATAAATACACAGGTGATTATTGAAAATCTCGCGCGCTGATTGGTCGAGAAACTCAGATTATCACACGATAATCACCTCCAGCGGTAATCCAAAATGGCGGCCAGCCGCTTTGTTGCTGTAACCTAATTTTAAATGTGTCTTTTATCTTCTTTTTTTTTCTTCTTTTTTTGAAAGAATCACCTGTGTATTTATACGAAAACAATTATTCACCTCAGGCTCAGTGAATATCGGGAATAATAACCTCAACTTCGTTTCGGTTATTATTCCCCGATATTCACTTCGCCTTCGGCGAATAATTGTTAAATAAAGAACCAATGAGTATGAAAATTAAGAGTACTTAAATGAAAAGTTTCTCCGCGTATCACTTGTCGTCAGAATTCGAAGCGTACTAATATTTTTGGTGCGCCTTTTCAAATTTAAAGCCATTTTTAAAATGTTGTTTTAAATATGTTTGTACCCAGTGAATTCGGAATTTACCAATATAAGTAAGAAACGGTAGCGCTTTCGACGATCGATACAATAGTGATTTTCTATTCACCTCCAGAAATTAAACCTACTACTCCTCCCAGCCCAACTTGTGGATATGCTCTTGGACTTCAATCGCATGCTTTGAGCGATTCCCAGATGCGTGCCTCCTCTGAATTTGATTCCAATCATCGTGCGGCCAATGGGAGACTTCATTTCCAGGCCGGTGGAGGAAGAACGGGAGCGTGGTCCGCTAGATACAATAATGCTGAACAGTGGCTTCAAGTAGATTTCGGTAAAATTGCAAAAATAATCAAGATAGCTACCCAAGGCCGTCAAGATGCTAACCAGTGGGTGAAGAGTTACACACTTTCATATAGCAGAGATGGTGTGTTCTGGAACATGCTGCCAGAGGTAAGTAAAATGAAGTCTTTTGTGAAGTCCAATTAAACACAAATCATGGTAGAAAAAGTGGTATCTCATTTTGTTTTTGTGTACGCAGGTACTTAGGGGAAATTCTGATCGATCAACTGTTGTCACTCGTAACCTGAAACAAGTTATATACGCTCGATATCTTCGAATTCATCCACGAAGTTGGCAAGGACACATTTCCATGAGGGCCGAGGTTTATGGATGCACTTCAGGTAAGAATAAACAGAAAACTATCTTGGTAAACGTTCTTGTAGTTTATAACATGTACACGACCTCAATTTAATAATTCTTTTTTTAACTTTGTCCAGGCTTTCMAGTTCCAACTGAAAGTTGCCTTTCTGCTCTTGGAATGCAGAGAAAAACTATCCCTGATTCCAGTATCAAAGCCTCTTCCACGTTTGATGCTAACCATTCACCATCCCGGGCAAGACTCAGTACAGTTAAACAAGGCGCAAAGACAGGCGCGTGGTCAGCAAAAACCAATGATGCTGGCCAATGGATACAAGTAGATATGGGCCGAGTTGTCAAGGTTACTCGTATCGCAACACAAGGTCGTCAAGATTATAACCAGTGGGTAAAAACCTATACAGTGCAATACAGCATGGATGGAGGTCATTTTGAAGACTACCAAGGAGGTCGGGTGTTAAAGGGAAATAGTGACCGTAACAGTATAGTTGGCCATATTTTGGAGCCCGCCATTATTGCAAGATACATCAGGATCCGTCCCAAGTCTTGGTATGGACACATTTCTATGAGATTCGAAATCTACGGATGTACTAGTGGTAAGTAATAGAAGTACCTGTGTTTGAGCTTCAGAGCTCTTGCCCCTGAAGGGTTACGTTTGATAACTCTTCGATAAGTCTGATCCATCGGCATAACCCATAAAAGTAATTACATTACTAATTATACAGCTTCTCATTAATCCCATATAGGTAACTGTTCAATCATTTTCCTAATTGGACAGGTCTTGTTGACATGGGATTAATTAGGCAGCTATATGATTAATAGGTAATAAGATTTCATGCTCCCCAATCAAGAAATAATTAGACTCGAAAAATTCCTCTGACTGCCAAATTGGACTCGGCCTACGCCCTCATCCAATTTTGTCAGTCCTCGGAATTTTCCTCCTCCAATTAGTCAATTTTGGAGGCTTGAACAAAAACCTTTTGTTAGGCTTGAAGTCGCACCGATTTTTTGATACGATAACCTAAAAAATAATTATTTTTTAAAATAAAGCTTTCTGGGATATTTCTTAAGTCGGACAAATTCGATGTTTTGTTTTGCTTTCAAGGTTTCCCTATTCCACCAACGCCATCTTGTGCTGGCGCCATTAACCTAGGTGACTGGATGTTGTCTTCTTCTTCGGACTGGGATTACAATCACAGAGCTGCAAACGGCAAGTTGGACTTCGTTGCTGGAGGAGGAAGGACTGGTGCCTGGTCTGCACGTCATAACAACGCCAATCAATGGCTGCTTGTCGACTTTGATCGAGAGATGAAGATTACACGCATTTCTACTCAGGGACGTCAAGATGCTAACCAGTGGGTCAGGACCTACACGGTAGAATACAGCCAAGATGGCGTCCGGTTTACACCTTACAGTGTGGGCAAAGTTGCGAAGGTAAGCGAAAATTTCGAGGTCTAGTTCTTAACAAATGTGATTTGCGGAATGTTATATTAGACCTAATCTTCTTTTTTTGCCTTGATACTGATTGTACTTTTCAGTCCAACATGTTATAACCATACCGATCAACCCTGGCTCTTAAAGGCCCGTTTACATTTGCGATTTTTGCAGTAAATTGAGGTGTGATTTTGGCGCGTTTTCGGAAAATGAAATACATTTTGTCTTGTGCTTCAAAATAGACATTTTCAGGTAATCTTGGTATCCGGAATTAAACTTTACAACTGTTAATCATTTACCATTTTAAACTATGATCAAATGCTGCAAAAATCGCCCGTAGTGTAAACGTGCCTTTATCGATATGCATCGAATTATGCTAAACACTAAGCGTTATTAGTCAATAAATAAAATATGATGCAAAAAAGTCAAAACAATTGGTCATTAGCTCTTTCATCTGCGTATACGAAGAAGAAGCAACTGTTTCGAAAGTGTGAGAAGCACGGGGACGAGCTAAGGATCGACGAATCTGTTTATACAAAGCAACGTTGTTTCCCCAAGATCATCGTTATTAAGGCCCTTTTCCTTGTCACGCCTAGATATTTGCTGCAAACACCGACCGTCATTCAGTTGTCAGCCATAAACTCCCAACACCGATTGTGGCTCAGTACGTTCGTTTGAGGCCGAAGTCTTGGTACAGTCACATATCCATGCGAGTGGGGATGTATGGATGCCCAACAGGTATGCCACAGACCTTTGAAAATTATCTTGGAACTAAGCAAGCTAATAGGAAAATATTTGAGAAGTGACAATTTTATCGAGAATAAGTATAGTTTTTCTTGTGTTTTTCTGTTATCTTCGCTTTCAAGATAACTTTGAAAGGTGTCTAAGCTTATTTGAAAGTTTTTTAATCGCGAATTTAAACTTAATATATAAACATATATTTCACAACCACCACTCTCCCAGTACGGGGCTAGCTCTTCCTTGAGGTTTCTTCCACACGCACTACCACTACATTCTATATTTACAACATACAACACTCAAATCACATGTTGATTTTTACGGAGAAGGTAAACCGGAGAAACCGGAGAAAACCCTAGTGGCAAGGAAGAGAGAACACATAAAATAAACTCAACTCAGATATTATCCAGTCTTAGCCAGGGCTTGAACCTGAACCACAGCGGTGAGAGGCGAGTGGTAAACCACTACGCCTTTCACGTTACGTATCGCAATTTTACCATTGATAACAGATGTGTGTTTTGATATTATTAATAGGTAAAAAGCCGGCAAGTCCTCCTTGTCATCAGGCAATGGATGTAGGAGTAATAATGGATCGATCAGGTAGCATTGGGGCCGAGAACTTCAGGAAATCTCAAGACTTTGTAGCAAGTTTGATCAGCCATTTTGAGTATGCGTCATCAGGCACTCGTTTCGGAGTCATCGCCTATAATGCAGCGGCAAACACCATCTTCAGATTTAATGACGCTGCTGTACAGAATTCTAAAACCTTGATGAGTCGCGTTTATGGTGAGTGAAAATAATATGGATTAAACATAACCCGTTAAGACCTTAAATACAATCGACCAAATCTCAATTATCAAACTCATTAATAATTCATGAGGAAAACACAATAGAAATCACGACCGTGAAGAGTGTTGTAAGTCTGATACAAAACTGTGTTCATTTGCATTAACTTTAAGTTGGATTTTCTTGGGCAGATTCACTTTAATTTTGAAAATTTTAGTGAAACACAAAGGAACTAACCTAGACGTTTGATAAGCAATCTACAGTATTCGTGTCCGTGTTGTATCCGATATACAAACTCTGGGCTACGCCTCGCTACAACACGGCCACTCATACTGTATATATTACTTAAAGCATCAAATTAGTGATCAGGGATATACAATACACCAGGCACCAAACAAACCGACCGACCGACCGACCGGCCGACCCATCGACCATGTGGACCAACAAGCTAGCCTTACAGACGATCCAAACCCAATAAGGCAAAAACAAAACACTCAAATGCTCGACTGATCTTCGAGAAAACAACTGACAAACGACTGACCTTACAGAACCAATTGTTTTAAAAAATTATAAAACTACCACATCAGCCATGAAGACGAAAAATATAAAACTAAAGTTTCGAAAGCTTCCAAGCGTTTTCTATTATCTCCATAAAACAAAATATTTTCCACCAACGACGACAAAATATGCTTTTTCAAAAAGTTATTTGGTAAATCTTTTCACGGATGTGGTTATTTTCTTTATTTTCGGGTTATAGACGTTTATTTTTAGTTGAAAACTTAGGATTAGGAAATCTTAAACTACGAACAAAACGTTTGCTGATTGGCTAATTGGTTCTGCATGATACAACCGAGAGAACCTGGCTGCCCCTGACCACTGCCCTTACTGAATTTTGAATTCTTGAATTCCAATCGTTTAATAATATCATTTTTTTCTGTCCATAAAGGTATCAAGTACTTGCAAGGTGGAACGCGTACTGACAGAGCCTTGCAACTTGCCAATAGTGACCTGTACTCTTCGCGTGGTGGTTACCGTAGCAACGTACCAAACGTGTTGTTTGTTTTGACCGATGGCAAGACCAACCGAGGAAGCTTACCTTATTCCACCGTCCTCAAGCCTTTGTTGGTACGTCGTTACAATGTATTACATTCAGGGGCTTTTTTAAAGAAATTCTTTAACCTGAGTTTATAATTTTTTTTTCTTCTCGCAAATAGGCCAAAAAGGTGAAAATGATAGCCGTTGGCGTTGGCAAAGGAATAAATGATAGTGAGCTTCGACAAATCTCAAAAAAAACATGTTTTCCATGTCAAAGACTTCAACGCTTTGTCAGAGAAATTAAAGGACATTCTTGATGCTTCCTGTCCCTGAAATTAAGTAAGGTGAGTCCCTTTGTGCACCAGTGCCTCTTTTCTTCCTTTCCTYYGTGCCTCCGTGACTCCGCCTGTCTTTCTCTCCTTTTCCATGTCCGTTTATCTACCCGCCTCTTTTTCTATTTTCTTTCTGTTTGCGTGAGCAATGAGATAAACTGGTGACATCATTTATATATGTTTTATTTCTTTTAAACTTTACAGAAATTGAAAAGGAACCAAAGGCATAAATGACAAAGGATTTCCCATCTGATTGATTTAAAGATATTAGTATAAAAAAGTGCTGATGTAAATTGTATGATGGTTCTCTTACATTMGTTTCAAAGCAACGATGGGATCAAAGATTCTAGGACCTACTTTTTCACAACTCAAAACATTTTTTAATTTCATTTCCCAGGGTCTCACCATTAATAATCATAGTGATGTAAGATACGTATGTTATTTGAGTTTACTGGTTATTGTACATCATGGCCATTTTTTTCACATTTTACTTTTCTTGTTTCATCATTTTAATCTCAATTTTAATCATTTAAATCCCTTTTCTAAGAGAGCTTGTTATAAGTCTTTTGCAAACTAGACCAGTTTGGATGACGCACGTGGATAGACGTATCGACCGAAAATGCTTTAAAACTGTCCACATTCTGTTTACCTTTTTCTGTAAAAGTATGGAACTTTTTTTCCCATGTTGTTTTTAAACCCACATTGTAAGTTAACCAATCATCAATAAGGCTTATGTAGTCATAAATATAAACACTTGACTAGCAATAAAGCAAGCAAACTAAAAAAAAAATTTGAAGTTTTTATGTCTTGTTTATGCAGCGCACAATACAAAGGCATTGGTTTGAAAACAGTCAATTCCAAAAATTGTCATTGACCGACTCAAGAATAGGTGACTTTCTTCTAGAAGGGAAATACATATTAATTATGTTTCTTTGAATCGGATACGTTTTCTGATACTTTGAAGACTTAAAATATTGATTTTTCTTGCAAACAAAGCAGAGCAGAAATCTTGCTAGATCTGATCCAGGCTTCAAGGAGTAAGATAAGTAGGTTAAACTTGTCCAGTTTTCAGTTGAAAATGAAATTTATCTTCTCCTTGGAAGCCATTAAGGGCCATGGTCAAACATGATTAAAACATGTTAGGACATGATGGTCAAGCAAACATGGTTGACCACGGTTTGTCCATGATGTGACCATGGTTTGACCATGGTCAACCATGAATGTTAAATTGCAAGGTCAGTAAGTTTCTCAAGTTGATCATGGTTAACCATGTTTGGAAGCAACATCAATACCATGGTATACCATAATCAACCATGTTTGAAAGCAATATTAATACCATGGTATACCATGGTCAACCATGTTAGAAAGCAATATCGATACCATGGTATACCATGGTTAAGCATGTTTGAAAGCAATATCAATACCATGGTAGACCATGGTCAAGCATGTTTGAAAGCAATATCAATACCATGGTAGACCATGGTCAAGCATG